GTAATGGTGGGGTGTTAGACACAGGGAGAGACTGCAAATGGAGAGGACATTTGGAGCTCCACGATGTGGTCTAAACGCATCAGGACAAGTTCAAGAGAGAATCCTCGCTTATGATTTAACTAGGTGCCTGGGGAAGCACAGGCCTTAACATGAAACAGACCTAGGTTAAAATCCCAGTCCATCCCCGCTGGCTGAGTGTCTTTGAACACTTCCAGCACCCCTCTGAGTCCTGGCTCCAGCCTCCTAGGGCATCACTGAGGAACAGAAAGCACATGGGCTGGCACAGGGAGCCTGGCATAGGCAGGTCCCACAAAGCACCACCCTAGCATGGGATGTGTTCACAGTACCCACTCTGCAGAGTGCCAGGCGTGGTTGTGCTAAGGGACTGGAAAGGAATTCCAGTTGTTATTACGCTCATGAGAAGCATCAAGCTTAAGACAGAGAAGGCTGTTTTGGTTATATACCAAGGACGATGATTGTGAAGCAGGTATTTGCTCTTGTGTAAGAAGGGGGAAATGGGAAGAGGGAAGAAGTCAAGCACCTCAGACCTGTATGACTTGCAAGGACCATGGGTCTTCTTGCTTAATAGGCACTTGGCTCTCTGTCTGTCCCCTGGTTCCACACCTGCCAATCCAACTATGTGCAATTCAAAACTACTTGAGAACTGCATCTGTTCTGAATATGTACAGACTTCTCTTGTCATCTCCTAAATGTATCATAATAGTTATTCCTATGGTATTGGGCATTATTAATCACCTAGATCTGATTTAAAATATATGAGAGGGTATAGCAGGGTTATATGCAAATACTAGACTATTTTATATAAGACCTGGATTATCTGTGGATTTGGCTATCTGTAGAGGCACTGGAACTAGTCCCCTATGATTATTGAGGGACAGCGAAAGCAAGACACTATATAATACAGGCACATGATTAGCTTTCAATATTGAATCAGCCTTGCATTCCTGAAATGAATCTTACTTGGTCAGGCTGTATTACCCTTTTTATACATTACTGAGTACAACTGGATACTTTTCAACTACGCTCATGAGAGATACTGGTCTGTAGTTTTATTTCTCATGATGTCTTTGCCTGTTTTTCATATGGAGGTAATGCTGACTTTACATCTGGAATATTCCCAGCACATTAGATTTGAAGTTGATTTCTTGCAGGGTATATTATTATATACACTTGAGATATGCTGGACTCTGTGCTAAATGCATTACATACCCTCCCCCCTCAGGTAGGGTCTCATTATGATATAGCCCACCCAGCCTATAGCACAAACAGTTAACCAAAGACTTCAGGTTCAAAGAATTCTAATAAAGATCAAGTGGTGCATGCCTTTAAATCCCAGCACTCGAGAGGCAGAGGCAGGTGGATCTCTGTGAGTTCCAGGCCAGCCTAGTCTACCTAGTGAATTCCAGGCCAGCCAGGGCTATAGAGTGAGACTCTGTCTCAAAGAAAGAAAAAGGTCAGTATAATAAACAAAATCATGGAAATATAAATAAAAGTAAAATGGCAGTATTATCTCTTAGTGATAACATTAAACAGTAACTGAAAGTATGTAATCATGGCCTAACCTGTCAGGAAAATACAAATAATAGGGAACTGTATCAGTACTTCCTGAAATACCTCTCCAGTGAGGGCTATGCTGGCTTTGACCCACACCTGGACCTACAGAAGGACCCATGTTTGAGTCTGTGGCTGAGCTGGCTAAGCTGTTCAAGGTAACTCAGGAAGGAAGATGTTCATCACATTTTTTTAAAAAAAAAATACAAATTCCAGGTCATTGAATGTAAAAGATCCAATGGGACTTTTGGGGGTGTGGTGGTAATATGATATCAGAAAAATATAATATTCATTTTATTTGTTTAGTTAATACACAAAAACCTTTATTTCATGTTTAAAATGTATTCAGTACTTTAAGTGGGGTGCTGGGGACTGAACCCAGACCCTGTACTTGCTAGGCCAGAACTTTCAGTCCAGCCCTTTGGTATAGACATTCAATAGCAATCTTGTGGCTGGGGAGAAGGCTCAGTGGATAAAGTGCTTGCTACACAAGTGTGAGACTGGAGTTTGGATCCCAAGAATCCACATAAAAATCTGAGTGGGCATGGCGACCTGCCTACAGTCCCAGAGTTCAGGAGGTGAACACAGGGGATCCTAGGGGCTAGCTAGGCTGGCCAAATCAGCAAGTGATGTGTTCAGTGAGAGACCCCTTGCTTCAGTAAATAAAATGTCAACTTCTGGCTTCAATACATACACATGCCCTTGCATGTGCACCCCCAACATGTGCCCACACATGTAAGCATGCACAAACACACACACACACACACACACACACACACACACACACTGCATATACATATGCAAAAAGAAAAAAGAGCAATCTTATCAGGCTCAGTGATTCAGGTTCTAGAAAGAGAACCTCATGAAGCCAGTAGCTGTTTCCTTTCTCCTGCCTATTACTGTTTCTCTGCCCCTCCTGATTTCCGATGCTTCATCCACATGCATAGTGCCAGCCCTGCTCCACCCTGTGATGGCTGGTCTCTTCAGCTCATTTTCCTGCCTGGGTGTCAGACCTACATCTTGCTGCTCTCCCATCTCCTCAGGGTGTCCCACAGACCCCTCAAACTCCCTGTACTTCCCTGACAGAAGAGGCAGAGGAGGCAAGCACAGGGGCACGACCCACGACCCACGTGTACATGCAGAAGGCAAGGATGAGGGGCTGGTTGGGAACAGTGGGATGACTGAACCATGAAGAGTCTAAAAGAAACGCAGTTGTGCGAACATCCAGAGGCATAGAGAGATCCACTTTGGTTCCTTGGTGAGAACCATCTGTAAACAACACTCTATTTCTGTGTCTATGTTTCTGTCACTTTTATCCAGTTTACACAATTTTGTCACCCACTAAAAAGCTCACTCAAATCATTTCCTGAGAAAACCCTTTAAAAAAAGAGGTTGAGGGCTGAAGAGATGGTTCAGGGGTTCAGAGCACTTGTCGCTTTTGCAGAGGATCCAAGTTTGGTTCTCAGCACCCATGTCAGGCATCTCACAGCCACCTATAACTCTAGTTCCAGGGGCTCTGATGTCCTCTTCTGGCCTCTGTTGGTACTGCACTCATGTACACATATACCCAGATAGACGCACACACACACAATTAAAAATAAAACCTTTAAAGTGAAAAAAAAAGGTTGACGAAGAAGAGCAACCATCAGCTCAGTCTTTTGAAGGGCTGTGGACCCCACATGAATGCCAAGAGCTCCCTTGGGAAAGGTGAGGGGGGCGGCAGGGTCTAATCTGAACCTGGTCTTCAGGTCACTGGAATGATACCAAGATATAGTAGAATGTATTCTTTTCTTATTTGGTCTTTTTGAGACAGGGTCTCCTTGTAGTCCCAGTTAGCCTGGAACTCACTATGTAGACCAGGCTGGCCTCATCTCACAGCAATTTGACTGCCTCTGCCTCCTGAGTATTGGGAATAAAGGTGTATACCATCACACCTGGCTAGAATGTAATTTTTTTTAATTAAAAAAATTATTTATTTTTATTTTATGTGGATGAGTATTTTGCCTACATGTAGGTAAGTGCACTCATGTCATGCAATGCCAGTGGAGGTCAGAAGAGGGCATCAATCCTCTGACATTGAAGTTGCTAGTTGCCATGTGGGTGCTGGGAACTGAACCCGAGCCTTCTGGAAGAGAAGCCAGTGCTCTTAACTGCTGAGCCATCTCTCTAGCCCTAGAATGTGTTTTTAAAATTTTATTTTATTTTTTGCGTATGAGTGTTTTGCTTGCATGTATGTGTTCCATGTGCATGCAATTCTCCTGAAGGCCAGCAGAGGGCATTAGAGTCCCTGGAACTATTGATTCTCTACCTTTTGGCTAAGATCAAGTGTAGAGTCCCTGGAACTGGAGTACTGGATAGTTATTAGCTGCCATGTGGGTGCTGGGAAGTGAACCTGGGTCCTCTGCAAGGGTAGTCAGTGTTTTAAACTACTGAGCCATCTCTCCAGTCCCAGAGTAGAATGTATTTTATATAACTTTTAGTAGCTTGATTTAAGCTATAGTTTGTTCTGATAGAACTCGTGCAGAATCCTGGTTCCCAATGTGAAGGTGCTGAAAGATGGTGTGGCCCGTGAAAGGCGCAGCTTAGTGGGAGCTGAGTGCATCAGGAGCACTCTCAGGAAGGATTAATGATGGCTTTCCACAGAGGGCTAGGTCTAGAGGGAGTGGGGTTGGTTCTGTAGAGAATGGGTTGTTATGAGTGAACCTGGCCCCTTGCTGCTCTCTTTCTGCCTCACTCACTAAGTGACGCCCATCTCTCTCACACTTCTGGCCATCTAGGATACCACCACAAATCCTCCTAGAAACCAATTCTGCTGCTATGCTCTTAGGCCTCCAAAACACGAGTGAAAATAAACCTTAATTCTTCTTATTCTTTTTTTTGTAGGGCTGGGAATATGGCTAAGAGTTTCCCACATGCTAGGCAAGTGCTCTACCCCTGAGCTCTATTTCTAGCCGTTTTTTTAAAAGTACTTAGCCTCAGGTGTTTTGTTATAGCAATGTAAAATTGAAGAAGACAGTTTATAACTCTTAAATATAGAACTAGAATTTCTCAACTGTGGCACTGTTGGCATTTAGGTGGAATAATTCCTGTGCATCACAGAACATTTAGAAGCACCTGTAGCCTTTACCCATTAGCTGCCAGTAGCTACATCTTCTAAATTGTGCAATTAAATCATTGGTAAGTGTCCCGTAGGAGTCAAAACTCTTTAGATTTATACTATGTAGGTCTCAATTTGTCTTCCACCTCAGGCCCTAAAATTGTTAGGCCATATGACCTTGGGCCACTTCTTTTCTCTCTGGGCCTGTTTCCTCTACTGGGCTTGGTGGGAACCAGATGTGGGCTTGGGTCAGAATTCAGCTCAGCATCAGGTGGCCAGTGCTTCTGGGTCCCCTTCCCGCCTGCCTCTGCTGGTCCCTGAGGGCACTCACCTGTTCAGAAAGATGCTACTGACGTCATCATGCGTGATGGGAGGCTTCTTGGAGCTGGCGGCCATGCGCAGGGGGCGCAGGAAGTTGTTGACAAGGATGTGCAGCTGCTGCACATACTCGGCCTCGGCCTCCAGCATGCTGAACACCACCTGGTTCCTCTTGCGCATGCTGTCGGCGTGCGGAGACCGGATGTAGTCCTGGATGATGGTCTTCCACTTCCGCCTGCACAGCCAGCCCCGCAGGAAGCTCTGCACCTGGTGTGGAGACCAGTGGGCTCTGTCAGTCTCTGGCACCCCTGTCGCTGCAGGCTGTGAGCACCCAAGGACAGGGACCAAGGCTTTGTCGTCCCTGCTGCTGGGTGTGTGGGGAGAAGAACTGCGATACAGACCTTGCAGGCCTGGCTCTGCTGCCAGCCTGGTGGTATGTGGTCCCTCGAGACAATTTTCCCATCTGCAAAACGGGGATGAGGAGCACCACAGGCTGAACAGCATCTCAGGAGAGCTTGTTAGAAATGTGAGTTCTCAGGCTTGCTCCGGACCTCTGCGGTTCAACAAGATCCCAGGATGCTTTGGGAGCACTCACCGAGGGAGGAAGAGTGGGCCCCAAATCTCCACATGGGATGGAGCTCAAGAAGGGGTTTGCTAGGCTGTGCCTGGCATGGTTACCACGCTGTCTAATGACTCTTCTGAGAGCTCAGAGGTTTCAATTAAAGCTTGTCTAGAGAGGGTAATTATCAAATTGAACAGAACATGGCAAATCTGCTCATCTCAAGCTCATCAGCGGCTTCTGAGCCTCAGCGCCAGCCTGGAGCCTCCCAGACTCAGCTGGGAAATGCCTGCCAGTCCTTTCTTAGTGACCATGCAATCTGGCTGTGCTTAGAGAAGTGGCCCTAAACAAGTGTAGGAACTTGCAAAGGGGTCTTCATTCACACACACACCACATACAACACACACAAACACATATGCATAGATACCCCCACTATATACAACACACAGAAATGTACGAAGACACCCCCCACATATAACATACACAAACACATATAGACATACCTCATACCACACAGAGAAGCACATACATACAGACACCCTTCCCCACAGAAACAGACACACACCCCACCCACATACAACACACATACAGAGAAACACATACTAATACATGCAGACATAACAATACACACCCAGAAACACAGAAACATACACATACAGACATGTCTACACACAGACACACATGGACATATACACACAGACACATATAAAGGCACACACAGATGCACAATGACATACACACACACACACACAGAGTTTTTCTAAGCTACACAGGTTTCTAATCTAGGGTCACCTAGCTCCTATACTCTCAGGGCTGCTTGGCTGTGCACAAACTCATGATCCCTACAGGGAGGGACACAGAGGACTGGAGCCAGGGTACAGGAATCTTTACTGAAGAGCACTGGCACAGACATCGAGGACTGAGCCGGCTTTGTGGAAGAGGGAGGGCTTTAAAGCTTCAGGAAACATCCATGGGGGTGGATTTCAGCCAGCCCTTAACAAATGCCCCAACTAGAAAGGCTGCTCTGAGAAGGATGGGCTGACATGCTCAGGGGCCACAGCTGAGCCAGCTGCCTCTGTCCGAGTGGCACTTGATATCAAATCCCCACACCTGCCTGTGTGGGCCAGACAGATCCTGCACACATGAGGTGGCTTGGGCACAAGATGCGGCAGCCTCTTGTCCCAGGGCTGACATTGCTACCTCATGTACAGGAGGTGACGCAGGCCATCAGCTTTTCAGGCCGTGTGTCCAAGCAACCGAGGGTACTAGGTGCCAGGGTTTGACTGTTAAGCCCTGCAGATACTTAGCTGTGTCAACTTGGGCACATGGTGCTTGGCCCCTCTGTGTCTCAGCTTCTCCAAATAAGAGATGCAGATGATAATCAAATCTCAGAGGGTTTCAGTGAGGATCTACTTAATCTGCAGCCAGCTCCCAGAATAGCATCTGGCACGTAGAAAGTGGCCAATGAATGCTAGCAATTTCTATTTTTGAGAACCAGAAATCCAGATTTTTGTGTGAAGTGTTTAGCTTTAAAGCACTAGCAACAAATATAAAAGGGGGAAAAACCTATGTGGGCTGAAAATCACATACACTGGAAGGCTGAACTTGGCCTGCAGGACACGCTTGCAGTTTCTGGTCTGCATGGCCTGGGGTCCTTCTGCAGCCTCAACAAGGAATATCCTCTTGTCTCATGTACTGTCCTTAGGGTGAGCCAGCTCCCATGCCTTGAGGCTGGCAAGGTGGCAACATAGCCAGGCTTCTTTCCTGTGCCACAGCAACACTACCCTGGTCATTGGGCAGATCCCTGGTACCTCCTGAGAAACCTGTCCCCGGGGAACCCTGATAGGGCCAGAGCAGTGACTGACTGTGGGGTCTTATGAAGGCCAGCTCCCTGCTGAGCCCTGCTGAGGTGCAGGCAGTTGGGAGAGGTATGTGTGTGACTGTAGGGGACAAGCAAGAAAGTGATGATGGAAAGGAACTTAGGAGGGGATCTTGCTGAGGCTGCACAGTGCTTGAAGGAAAGCTCTTGAGGAGACTCCCTAGGCCTCCAGCCTGGTCCTGGCTCCATTCCCTCTTTCCTCCTTTTCTTTTCTAGAAAATGGGGCTAGATCATCCTCCCTCACAGGAACAAACCAGGAGAGGTGGTATGACAAGTGTCAAAAGGGGCAAAGGGCTGCTGGATTCATCTCTGGAGCTGAGGTGGATGAGCGAGTAGCATGCCTTGGGGACATGTGGGACAGCAGGGGTGGGACGGACCTTCTTAATTTTCTTGATGTCACTGTCCTCATCGTTGGGGGTGACAGTCTGGGTGGACTGGATGCGTTCATTGTCTTTGAGCAGAGATGCAATCTGCAACAGAAACACAGGTCAGTGGTGGGCTGCAGGCTCACCTGAGCAGATATGTGATCTGCAATAGAAACACAGTCAGTGGCCAGCAGGCTCATGGAAGCAACTGAATGAGGAGAATGCCTGCCTCCTCCCCAAGAGCTGGTGATGTTGCATGCTGGGTCCTCCTTGCTGAGTGTCCAGGTCAGGGAACCACACAGTCCCCAGACACCTGCAAGGCAGTGTGTGCTGCACCAGGGACCGTTCCACTTCAGCTTGGGGGCATCAGAGTGACCTTGGACAAGGTTTCTCCATATGTGGGCCTGATTAGCTCAGTCTATGATTCTCTTCCCTGTTCCTCAAACCATGGGTCCCTTTTATCTTATTGTGAGAAAATATAAGCAACAAAAATTACTGTGTGAATCATTTGTGTGTGTGGACGTATACATGAAGGTGTGTGGTATATGCATGTGTGTGTGCATATGTGTGTACCTGAGGTCTTTACTCAATTGCTGTCTGTCTATCTATCTATCATCTATCTATCTATCTATCTATCTATCTATCTATCTATCTATCTATCTATCTATCTTCTATCATCTATCTATCTATCTATCTATCTATCTATCTATCTATCTATCTATCTATCATCTATCTTTATCTATCTATCTATCTATCTATCTATCTATCTATCTATCTATCTATCATCTATCATTTATCTATCTATAGACAGGGTCTTCCTATAGCCCCAGTTGGCCTTGAACTCATTATGTACACCAGGCTGGCCTTGATCTTACAGAGCTCTGCTTGCCTCTACCTCCCAAGTGCTGGGCTTAAAGGCAGGCACCACCATGCCTGGCTACCACTATTATTTTTTGTTTGTTTGCTTGTTTTGTATTTTGGTCTTTTGAGACAGGGTCTCACTGTAGCTCCAGCTGTCCTGGAGCTCACTATGTAGACCAGGCTGGCCTTGAACTCACAGAGATCCACTTGCTTCTGCCTCCAGAGTGCTGGGATTAAAGGCCTGTGCCACTCTGCCTAACACCACTATTATTTTTTGGGACGAAGTCTCTCACTGAACTTGAAGTTTATCAATCTGGCTAGGATGGATGGCCAAAGAGCTTCAAGGATTCACCTGTCTCTACTACTTGCCTTCCAAGGCTGGAGTTATAGCATGTACCTGCCATGTGTGGCTGTTTACTTGGGTTCCAGGGATTCAAATTCAGGGCCTCATGCTTACATGACAGAAACTTCACTGACTGAGCCAGCTCCCAGCTCCTATGAATCTTAAAAAAGTTTATGTTTTTTATATATTTTTGCACAGGTTTTGTGTGTGTGTGTGTGTGTGTGTGTGTGTGTGTGTGTGTGTGTGTGTTGGTTCTTTCCTACCACAGGTGTTCTGGTTAAACTCAGGTTGTCAGGCTTGGGAGTAAGCGCCTTTATCCACTGAGCCATTTTGCTGCCCACCTCCATGAATCATTTTTCAGTGTACTGTTGAGAGGTATTCAGTCCATTCATAATACGGAGCCATCATCACCACCCATCTCCAGAACCTTTTCAAATAGAAATCCCGTGTCCATCAAACAGTAGGTCCTTAGTCCCTCTCCTCCAGCCCCCAACAACCACAGTGCTACTTTCCGTGCCTGCAAATTTTATACCAGGAAGCTCACATAAGTAGAATCACACAAGACCTGTCTTTTGTGAGTTCATTATACTATAGCCTGTGTAAGAATTTTCTTCCTTTTAAGGTGAACAATATTTCATCATTCACTTATGTATTGCATTTATAGCTCATTTTTTGAAATTTATTTTTTTATTTCTTTTTTATAGTAAATCATCTGTTTTTAAAAATATTTTATTTATTTTATGTGTATGCATGTATTGCCTGCATGTAGGTAAGTGCACCCATGTCGTGCAATGCCCGAGGAGGACTGAGAGGTTATTGGATCCCCTGGAACTGGAGTTATGGACAGTTGTTAGCTGCCATGTGGGTGCTGGGATTTGAACCTGGGTCTTCCACAAGAACAGCCAGTGTTCTTAACTGCTGAGCCATCTCTCCAGCCCATGATTTATTTATCTTTATTTTATGATGTATGAGTGTTTTGTCTGCATGTACCTAAGTGCACCATGTGCATGCAATGTCCATGGAGGCCAGAAGAGGGCATCAGAGTCCCCTGGAATTGGGGTACAGATGGTTGTTAGCTGCCATGTGGGTGCTGGAAACCAAATCCTGGTCCTCTGCAAGAGCAACCAGTGCTCTTAATCTCTGAGTCATCTCTCCAGTCTCCAGAGAATAATGTGTGGCAGCTTCACACATTATTCTCTGTTCTTATTTGAGGCCCTCCCTGCTGTCCGCCCTGTGCCTTCCTAAGCCCCCTCAGGCTGGTTCCCTTCCTTCTCCCAGTAGTCCTTTATCTGCAGTCTTACATGTATTGCATTAGCTTCTCTTTACCCCCTTCCTTGCGATCTCTTCCTTTCCTCTCATGACCCTCCTTTTAGTTTCATGACTTACACAACACACACACACACACACACACACACACACACAAACATATATATTTTAAATCTAGATTCCAAATATGAGAGAAAGCATGGGGTATTTGTCTTTCTGAGTCTGGCTTATTTTTATGAACATAATGATTACCAGTTGCATCCATTTTCCTGCAAAGTCATGATTTCATTTTTCTGTATGGCTGCACGAAATTCCATTGTGTGTCTGTGCCACATTTCCTTTACCCATTCATCGTTTGGCAGACACCTAGGCTGGTTGCATTTCCTGGCTGTGCTGCACGAAATTCCATTGTGTGTCTGTGCCACATTTCCTTTACCCATTCATTCATCGTTTGGCAGACACCTAGGCTGGTTGCATTTCCTGGCTGCTGTGAATAAAGCAGTACTAAGCATGGGAATGCAAGTGTCTCTGTGGCACGTGGCACTCATCTGTTTGTCTTTTTTATGTTTTTGAGGCAGGGTCTCAGTTTGTAGTCCTGGCTGGGTTTGAACTCACTACATAGACCAGGCTACCTCCCAAGTGCTGGGATTAAAGGTGTGTGCCACCACATCCAGCCTGCACTCATCCGTTGACAGATGTTGGGTTGTCCTTTATCTTTCTGATAAGGAAAGATATTTTGGGGTATAAATCAGATCAGAGCTGGTAGCTGTGAATAGGCCTCTGCTGGCTTGCTTCCCTCCTCCCTGGGCAAGCCTGAAGCCCCTCTTAGGTCCAAAGCCCTCTCTGGAGCTTAACTACTAGCCTAGAAAGCTGTGACTGCCCTTGGAATCCCCTGAAAACTGCCTCTGTCTAATTTGGGGATCAGTAAGGTTGACACAGCCCAGGGACAGGGCATTGTTAGCCCCTTTAGGACTGTCTCAGTGGACAGGCCGGCAGCACAACCTGTGCCAAGGCTCCAAAGACTTTCTCACGAAGAGAAGCCACCTGTTTTCTCTCTCGCCTTTGCTGAGAGTTCTGTAGAGAGGGTCTGGAAAGGTCTCATGTATTGCTGCGCTCCTGGTACCTAGCACGCAACATGTTCTTGTCAGCTTAAAAAATGAATTTTAAAAAGTGATCAGAGCAACAGTGCCTGCCAACCCTCACCCAAAGGAAGCCGCAGTAGTGGCTGGGCTCACACATGTAAAGGCGGAAGCTCAGGGGCTCCGTCCTCAGAACCGGAGGTGGTGTGCCCTTAAGGCCACTTGCTAACCCTAGGGATGAATGGCTCTCACAACAAAGCTATTCAAACCTTTGAAAGTGAAGTGGGCAGTTGCAGGCTCTCCACTCCCGCCTGCTAAAATTATCCTGGCCTGGCCTTCGCTTGGGAAGTGTCTGGAAACATCTAAGTGGGCTGTTCAGTAGGGAGACTCTCTTTCCCATTTTTTCCTTTCATCCTTGTTACTTCCTCAACCTTTACTTTCAATCCTTAAGCTTAGAATAGGCACATGTTGAAATAAAGACTGATTTTTGGGGGGCTCTGGTCTAAAGCTAAAAGGCTATATGCTGCCCCCACCCCCAGAACTCTGGGTGAGCTCAGAAACTTTTATGGTCCTATCAACACCTTCCCCTTGGCCTGAGGTCATTGCCTTCACACCAGCATGTTTTCTTTGCCAGTTCTGATATTTGCATAGAGGATGGTGGTGATGGTGTGTGCTGGGGGCTAGTTTGTATTTAAAACTCTCTTTTCAGAGACAGGTCTACAAGACAGCCATGCAATGGAGACCAGGGCAGAAAACAGGAACAATGAGGTATCACACTAGGCTGCATTGCTGAGTACTCCAGCTGTCTTGTGTATGTGGGTGTAGCATGAGGCACATTTGGAGGTCAAAGAATAACTTTTGGGAGTCATGCTCTCCTTCTACCATGTGGGACCCAGGGATCGAACTCAGATTGTAAGGTTTGGCAACAAGTGCCTTTACCTGTTGAGCCATTTTCCTGATTCTTGTCTTGAAGTCTTTAAGTATCAGGGCTTGGGGCATAACTCAGGAGAGTTAGGGGCCTGGGGCCACTGCAGAAGTCTCAGGTTATGGCCTATGTCTGGGAGAGACACTAAGGGGACTAAGGGGTCAGAGGAGGAGTCCTACCCCAGTGGGCTCATGGATATAGCTTTTCTGTAACTCTGGAGCATGCAAACGTAGATTGGCTCTGAGCCCCGGCTGGTTTGGCTGATGTCCATGCCCTGCTCAGCTGACTTTTGACATTGACACCCACAGGGAGCTTACTCTCCACCTGGCTGCCCAGCTCCTCTCCCACCTCAGAGTCTGATGTCTCAGCTGTCCCCTGTCTACCCACTACCCACAGAACAGCTCTCTTTCTGCATGAGGCAGACCCTTGCTGGCCACTGTCCTGTGCCCACTGCTCACTGGCCTCCCCACTCTGCAGCCTTCGCCAGAGGCAGATAGTGTGGTCAGTGCAGCAGGTGGAGGGAAAGGGAATCAATTCAGGTTTGTTTCTTTTTTTTTTTTTTTTTTAGTCTTTTTGGGA